GTTTCATAGAATTGTTATGAGTTGGAATTGACTGGACATCACTAAATATCAAAAACATGAATAATGGGTCATAATGAGACCATCTACCATCACAAAGACTGAACTATTTTAAGTAATAAAATGACTAAACAGTTAGAAATGAACTTAAGAAAAATGAGAGGTTTACATTAAGTGAGAATTTGATAAGATACTATTTTTAAAAATGTGGTAAGAATTTAAGAGGTTGATTAGATATTATAATTAATTACTTGTATCAATCAGTGATAATGTTATAAAACAAAATGTGAATGGTTGTATGAAAAACCATTATCATATCTAATTCTTCGGTCAAATGAGAAAAAACGTGGTGAGAAATTGAGTAATAAAAAAAAAGTGGTAGAGATAAACTATCTAGTCACTGTTTCTCATGAATAATGTACTCCCTTTTTCTCTGGGAAAGTTTTGTATCTTTTCTCCATCCTTTACTGGTACAGTAATGACTAGAGGATGGGCAAGATCATAGCAGAAGCCACTAACAACACATAGTCAGGCTGCTTGGCTCATCTTATTCCATAAGCATGTCCCCAAAGTGGGACATAAGCTCAGTGAAACAAGATTTAATTCTGTGGCAAGGCGATACCTATTCTTGTTCTTGAACAGCTAATGCCATGTCCAACCTGTCTTTACCTTTAATACATGTCACGTGAGACTATTACTCAACTATTAAGAGTCAGTAGTGGAGAAGTTTCCTCAAAGATGTATGCACTGACACTCAAAGTATCGCAGAGGCAGCCGAAACGTCAGTGGTATCTTTAGCACTTCAAGCCTGGAGGGACTTGATAGGAAGAATTCTTTGATCTAGAAAAGGCTGACCTCAAAATAGGCAGGCATTTTAGGCACCTGTTGTAGAATGACTTTTTGTTCTTTTTTATAGTTTGCCAGGCTGGACCTTGAAATTATGAAAGGTGGCTGGCTACCTTCCATGTATGCTCTGATGAATTCTATGAGGGTGAGGTTTCCTAGCTTTTACCAACATGTATTGGCATTAGTTGAAGTGATGCAATCAGCTACCCTAAATCTGCTCTCCCCTATTCCAGGGTTGTTGTTGTTATGTGCCGTCAAGTCGTTTGCGACTCATAGCGACCCTATGCACAACAGCCCTAAACCCTGCTCTATCCTGCACCAACCGCACTGCCTCTGACACACCCATCCCGATTACCCCAGTCACTGAATCAATCCATCTCATAGAGGGTCTTCCCCTCCTGCGCTGTCCCTCCACCCTCCCAAGCATGATGTCCCTCTCCAAGGACCCGTCCCTCCTGGCAACATGTCCAAAGTATGTCAGACGAAGCCCCAGAATCCTTGCCTCCGAGGAGTTGCTTGGTTTAATCCTCTCCAAGATGAATCTGTTTGTTTTCCTGGCAGTCCATGGTACATTCAGTACTCTTCTCCAGCACTACAGCTCAAAGGCATCAACTCTCCTTCTGTCCTCCCTAGTCATTGTCCAACTCTCTGATGCATAACAAGCGATTGCAAATACCATGGCCTATATCAGGCGCACCTTAGTCTCCAGAGAGACACTGTTGCTCGAGTACTTTAGAGAGGTCCCTAACAGCAGACTTTCCCATTGCGATACGCTTTTTGATTTCCTGACTGCTGGTGCCAAGAGTGTTGACTGTGGAGCCGAGCAAACTGAAGCTGTGAACAATCTCAATCTCTTCGCCATCCATCCTGATGTTACCAATTGGTCCAGTGGTGAGAATCTTTGTCTTCTTGACATTGAGCCTCAGTTCATACTGAAGGCTGCAGTCCTTGACCCTCCGCAGCAAGTGCATTTTGAGTCAGATATTCCAGGGTAGTAACTAAGAAATGACTAGTCTTCAGATTTATGGGGCATGTCAACAAAGTTCTGCAATCAATTCCTCCAGTGTAATTTGATTTCAATATGGGGTTCTGGATAGAAATCTCAGGAGGAGACTGTAGATGAAACTGTAGTGATGGTAGTGTTGCTAGGTTATCTTGAGTCAACTGTGACTCATGGCATACAGTCCAATCATTATAGTACCATTATCGCTATGTGCACTGAGCTGGAACCTCCAGTGGGTTTTCAGAGGCTGTAAATCATAGGAGAAGAAAACTCATCTTTCTCATACAGAGCACTGGTGGATCCAAACTGCCTTTGGGTTAGCAGTGCAATTCCTTCCCTACTAGGCCACTAGGGCTTCCTATGGCCAAGTAGTAAATCAAATAACTGAAAAGATAAACAGAGCTCTTTTTTATACAGAGTGCTTATTATCTCACCTCCTTGGATTGAGGAATTTAAAAACTCTCAATAAAGTAACACTAAAGGCAAAGAGAAAAATTTAAAAAGCTCTCTCCAGGAATGTTTGCTAAGAAAAGCAAGAACA